ACAAGACTGTAGTGAAATTTGAGTAATAGGTAGTAACTGACTTTTTTTAATTCAAGTAGAAATGATATCTCTGGTGGCATCAAAGTATATTTATAGTGTGCATATATGCAGGGAAAGAGTGCAATGCACATGAGTTTGCAGTGGGTGGATGTAAACCTGCATCACTGTGTGTTGGTTGCTGTTTTCAGACTGCCACCAGTAACTAGGCGAAGGGTCAGTATTACTATTTAGTGAACATTGGTTTTTGTTTAGGAAGGGAACAACATGAGGATTTGTTGGCTTTTGCGGGGGAGAATTGGTTGTGTTGGTTTTGTAGGTGTTTGGAAACTCCAGACATGCCTAGACCTTTTTCTCTTAAGTCATGTATAGTAACGTAAGCGGACTTGATAGAAAAGCTTTGTTTCAGACCTTGGAGTCAATGATAGATTTATTATTAAATTTAATAGAATTTTTTAGATCCTGAGTTAGACCAGCAATACTATAGGTCCTCCATGCCATTTTGTTTTGCAGTAATATCAGTTGTGGTTTGGACTCTTATGGTAAATGTATTGCACATACAGAGGAAAAAGATTTTCCCCACAGGAAAAGATTTTACTGCTTACAGAGGAATCTAATGGTTGCTTGAAAAAGAAGCTGTTTTTTTTATTTCTGTTTATGCCCTCCTGTGTTACATATGCACTATAGGTTACTTTGTGTTAATTGTGTGAAAACTTTTTGTGTCTGAGAGCAACAGGTTTTTCTTTTGTGCCTTAGAAAATGAGTTCTGCTTTTTATCTGAAAGGAGCACCACCTTTATGTGATCTTAAGGAAGTTCCTAAAACCTACTTAGGAGAATTTCTTGGGGAGAGATCAGGGGAGTCTATATTCTGTAGTTACCTATAATCTCTGCTAAACCTATCGTTGATGTTTCTAGTTGTGGAATTTCCAGCTGTCTATTTGTAACTGAACTGATACTGTGTCTGTTCCTCTTGGATGAGTATATATATCTGAGATTCATTGTGGTTTGGGTTGTATTTACCTTTTTAAACATGGATCATGACTAGAAAAATCACAATTTACTATTTGTACCACTGCCTATCATTCTCTGGCACTGTTTATTTTATCCTTATTTTTTCCATTAGGTGCTGCACCTAAAACAGCAGCATGTTGTCAGTATAGCAGGAGAAGGTGTTAATTTGTGTCGTCATGGAAAACTCTCTTGGCTTGAGGTAAGAGGCAGATATTTCCCAAAATGTGCCACTAAACAGAGGCAGAACTGAGAAACATTTGGGGATGAGCCTATGTTTAAGACTCACTGATGTAACTGTTTTGGTAAGGGATATAATGTTCTTCAAGACAGATCGTAAAAGACCTGTTACAGAAAGAATTATGTCATTATAAGACAACATAATAATAATTACTGAACTTATATGTAATGTATACATTTGTATATGACAATGTATTTGGTTTGACATCTTTATATACATGTATATGGGTAGAGATACTACACTTGTCAGCTGTTACCTATTGAAAAACTGCAAGATCTAATCACAATGCCAATATAACGGAAGGAGTAAAATCCATCTAAAGAAGATAGAGTTTATTAATTAGCTGTGATATTATCAACATCTGAAAAGGAAGGGACCGAAAGGAGAATAGCTTAATATGTTAGCTCAAGATCATCTTAGTTAATTTTTAAATAGGTTTAAAAGTGAGTGTTTATCCGAAGCAAAAACTTGTGTGGGAGTTCATGCTTCAGTCCTAACTCATTTATGCAGAAGTAAGCGTCCACAAAATGTTTGCTTTGGTATGGCTAAATTGCTTTCAAATAACAGCTTTTGTTAAACCATAATGAATTTGAACATAGGCAAAACCTCAATTTTATATCCTGTTTGAAATGCTAGGATGGAAAATTATGTCCTTTATTTCTTTGGTAGTAGTCCTTGACAGTGAAAGGAATGTCATGGGCACAGGAATTTTGTTGGAAGTGGTTCTTTAAAAGTGGCACTATAATAAGTGTAGGAACTTATTTTAAGTATTGTGCATAGGGTTTGTTCTAGATATGTCTCAAAATCCTGTATTTAACTGTGTATAGTAGACTACTGGGTTGTTGTTTCTAATTATTGCAAGAGTCTTTGAGAATCTCTGGGAAAAACAAGACTTTTTTATGAATTAGCATTAAGGAAGCTAAACCTGGTCTCCCCACCATAAGCCTGTACACAGGAGTTTACGGCTTGTGGGCAACACTGCACTCTCTCCTACTTTCAAGTCCTTTGTTCTTCTGCCCCTCACTCATTTTCTCTGCAACTGAATTTTTTGTAGATAGCAACAGAGTGCCATATTTTTCTATTTGATATCTTCCTTCTGGGACCTCAGGCTTTCAAAAATGGATTACAAATGGTGCTGCAAGATAAAAACATTGTGAAGGTAAGGGTACAGGGTTTGTGTGAACATTTGTGGTGGCAGAGGTCATATACATATATAATGATCTACCTGCACAAAAAAAAGCTGCAGTTGGACACAAATTCATCTGACAGCTCTTGCTTGCTTCAGGTCATGCATGACTGCCGCTGGATCTCAGACTGCCTCTTTCACCAGTACGGTGTCCTTCTCTCCCATGTCTTCGATACACAGGTACTCTTCAAATACTTTGGTTGGGAACAAAAGTTTCAACAAAAGAAACTTCAGCCTTGTTCAGGGTATTCTTTCAGAGAAGGTTTAACATTACTAGAATGTGACAGTTGTTGAATCATGTAGTGGTTTTGTTCTACCTAAAAAAAACAGCAGGCAAGGCTGATAGTGTTTAGAGCCTTGTGTAGACTCATTTTAAAAGGTAGTAAACATCTAATATTAGAAGCAAGTTTAATGTGGTATTTTAAGATATATTAACTGGTCTTGATAAAACTTGGAACAACCTGAGGCTACTGTGACTTAAACAGCTGCCTGGACTTTACATTATTTGCTATTCTTTCTGCCCCTTTCACAAGTGTAGAAACAGATTCAGGCTACAGGTATCCAGCACTGGGAAGCACCTACTAATAAATGCAGTGGTGGAAATGAAAGAACAGGCCAGGTTACCACAAAAATCTGTTTTTGCTGGTGCTGGCCCAGGTAGTTGTGGTAGTTAATGTTGTGTGACTAAAAGGAGAATTAGAGCCTTTCGAGTGAAAAGAAAATAACACATTGGCTGTGATCTTTCATAATAGGCATGGATATGGTATGCATAGTTATGTATGACTTGTCCTTGCCTATATACTGACTTTTCATGTCAGATATAGACTGCCTATAGTAACTCTTCAAAGCTCTAATCTGGGTTGTGTAGTAAACTTAATAGACAGAGGTTTCTCTCAGTCCTCTTCTGATCTTAGTTTAGCCTTTTGCTCCTAACAATTATGTTATTCCATTACAGGTCAAATATCAGTGTCAGTGTTAAGTCTTGACTGCATGAAAAACATAGGGGTGAAAATTCCCACCAGTGCTCCAAACTGTACTGGCTAGAACATGTAACTGATACAGTGGAAATAACTAACCAGAACTATCCACCCTAGGGTCTGAGGTACACAGAATTGCACTCACTGTTCTGTTGTCTTGGTGTGAGCTGACATGCCTGCCTTTCTTGCACTGATAGATCTCTGGGCTTAGATTTAATTACTCTGATTTATTGGCCTGAATCCTACTTCTAATGTAAATAAACTGGTGAAGTAGTCTGGTTTTGGCTACCCTGTAGTGTACCTGATACTGTGGGATTAAGCTGTCTTGTATTGTATTGTCTGTACTGCTGGAGCAAATAACTGCGAGATATCACTGAGCAAACTCCCATAGATGCTTTTTGTGAAGCACTTCTTAAAGACAGCTTCCCAGTGTTGTTAAAATTGGACCAGACCATGTGCACAAGTGAGACTCTGCTTAAAAACACAGCAATGGAATGAAGAACTCTGGCTGAGATGGGATCCCACCTGCATAATTTGGAAGGCGTCACTTATCCCTGGTTTTGGCCAGTTGCTGCAACTTGTTTATTCCTTGCAATAAGCAACCTAATATAATTAACACATGTAGAGGATGGCAGTGAAAGGTTCACTGTCTTCTCCGCTGATGTTCTTATAGTACTTAAGCATCACCTGTTGAAGTAACCTTTAATGATAATGTTTGTGGAAGTCTGGTACTGCTGTTTCACAACTGACTGTCTTGGGGGGGCAGGGGGTGTCCCTGTTGGGCTATAGCAGCCTAAAAAGCTGTATAGTGAGTAGGCAGCTCGCTGTTGTCAGTGCTTACATCCCTGACATTGCCTTCTGGGACACTTCTGCATGCATCAGGAGGCTGGAGCATTCTCATGCTCTGAAATCCCTTCCTGCTGTAAAATGTTATTGATTGCATACCTGTGTACTACCAAAAGAAGTAATACAATTCTTCCTAGAGGTGTGTGCTGAAAGAATAAAGAAGAATGACTGCTTGAGACTTTCCATGAGACAGAGGTCTGTGCGGGGTTCAACCATAAAATGTACAAGTGAAGAAGTCCCTGTTGCTGTCTGGTTCCACAGATCAATGCACATCCACTACTCTTCAGTGTGTTGCAGTTTTTCTGCCCTTGAATCCAAGCCATTAGCATGCAGTGACTTTGGACAAAGATTTTCACACTGAAAACTAAAACATTGTTTTCATTGTGGGCAAGTTTATTCTATAACTCCCTTCATTCAGAGTAGACTCTTTATGAGTATTGATCACAAAGATGCTTTCATTTTTGTTTAAATATTTAAGTCTTCTCTCCTTGTTTGGAAAGCATTGAAGTTTTTTTTTCTGGGAACTGCCTCTCTAGCCATCTAGAAGAATGGAATATATTTCCATAGATTTGAACATCATTCTTGTTTTGACTTTGAGTAAAAGTAACTGATTGCTTGAGAAGTTCTTTCCTGAGGTTCCACTTCATCTGCATTTGGCCACTGAGAGTAAAAAGCCAGAGAAAGTTTTAGTGGTCAGAAGTACAATACAAAGGGCTGTTTAGTAATGAGTGATGGGAACTTCCTCTTTACCTAGGGATTTGTGTCTATAATCTGGTGAAGGTCAGCTTTACCTGGATCTTCTCCATTTTAATTTCTTCAGTGAACTCATCAGTTTGAATTGTTGTAGTTCCTTTCTCCAGGTATGTTTCCTGCCACTTTGCAGCTGGTGGTTGTAGACTTCTTTGGACTGCAGCAAGGTAGTCGGCCTCGCAGAAGTACAAGCAGTCCTAGTTTCTCCATCCTGCTTCTGAGCATAGGAGGTCTGACATTTCTTTCCTTAGTTCAAATTGCTTGGTCTACTTGTGCTCTAACGTTTTGCATTTTCTTCATAATCTTTCTATAATCTTTTATTCCTTGGAAATTCAGTAAATGGACTGGCTTGGCACTTTCTTCTCGTAGGCTTAGCAAATACATGGCTTCTATCCCAGAGAAGGCTGCAGAGATTAGCTATTTAGCTGATGCCTTAGTGGCAGCCTTAGTCGTTAAATCATACCAGCTTGTTTGCCTTTGCTGTTGGTCAGGGAGAGATTTGGTTTTTCCCCCAGAGACTTTATAGGGAAGTAGGAATGGGGGTTTGGTTTTGGAATTTACCCTAACTATAAGAGGCCAGAAGAGGTCAGTTACAATTCTGTGGTCGCTATTGCAGGGGCTGAGCTGGTGCTGCCAAGCACTATGTGGTCTGGTCTGGGTAGCACATGGGCAGTGTGTAGCGGGACAGCTCCAACAGTGGCTTCAGCTGTAACCTTTGCAGTAAAACGGGCGGCCTGTAAGCTCATGGTTTTGTTGGTGGGATTGTGGATGCTTGTGTTGTGTGTGACTCAGGGTTTCTCAGGAGGGAGTAGTAAGAATAAAAGAAGGGCTATGAGAGGTCAGTGGGGACTTCAGGGAACCAAAATGGGAATCTGTGCTTTTGAGTAGCAGAGGAAGTCTCAAAAGGGAACAGACGGATAGTTTGTTCTAATGACAGATAGCTAGTTTCAGATTTGGAGTGTGTGGATGCAGGCTTTTTAGTTATTCCTCTCTGTTACCCTGGTGAGTGGACTCTTTTCCAGGTTTCCCTGTTCCATAGTCTTCTCTCTGCACCTGTTGCAATAGTCCTTCTCATCTTTATGTTCCCTGGTTAGGGACAAGCGTCAGGGCTGTTCCAGCTCTTACTGTAAAAGGGATGAAACCAGGAGGAGGAATGAGCAAACACCATGCCACACGGTCACTGCTGGAGGCTGTTGTCTGCTTTCCTTCTGGCTCTGTATGCTGTCAAAGATGACTCTTACCAGCAAAATCAGGTTTTAGGCACAAAGTCTTTGACAATTTGCATATTCTTTTATCATGTTTTCCTTACATTGCATCAATGGTTGGGGTAAAAGGCAAAGCCATAAATATCCTGGGGAAGTATCACTGTATGTTTAGTCTCTTCTGATACTGTTCCTAACCACCTGCTGTCTGGAGACGAGAGTACTGGGCTAAAAGGAACCTTAGCCTAATAGAACATATATAAGTCATTCTTAAAACTTAATTTAACCTTTTATGTAACTTAACAGCTTTAAGGAGTCAGATTACTAGCTTTGCAACTGCATGCAGTCAAAATGAGGATTAATTTGTTTGCAGTGTGCTTTACTTTTAATATGCATTCCCACTGTCAAACCTCCACATTGTTTGCTTTGGGTTAACGGACGCTGGTCATGGCCTATCGATCCCTTCCATCACAGGTTGCTGATGCTCTGCAGTTCTCAATGGCAACAGGTGGCTTCCTTCCGCACCGTGTCTGCACGTTACAGGAGTGTTTGATGCAGCACTTGAAGATACCTTCCAAACGGGATGTCATCATGAAGCACGGGCAGCAGATGGCCTCAGTGAGTGATTCAGTGAGGCACATTCTGAAGACTCTGTTGTGAGCTGTGCTTTGCCCATCTTAAGATGTTTCTACCAGGTTTTTTAAGAGCATGGCACTGTGCAGTCGTCAAATTCCTGTAACTAAGGACATTTTGTAACACTGACTTGGGAAACAGATGCAAGCTTTGGTTGGCATCAGTAATTGTCCTGGTATTTCCTAATAGCTCATTTGAAACTGGGGTTTTGAAGAACCATAAAGCTTGTACAATAGAGGATATATATAACTTGGGTAAAAAGTGTTCCAGATATATTTGACTAATTCTGAAACCTAGTTCCAACAGAACAAGTTGGTTAAAATGAATTTTGAATCAAGTGGGGAAAGAGGAAACTTCTATTGTCAGCACTATTAGCATGAACAAATGAGAGTAGCAATTTTTTTTTCTTGCATGTGCAGCTCAGCAGCATTTGCCAAATCATTGTTCTCTATTGTCTTCAGTTTTGTTAATCTTTCAGATGGGGACAAGCAAGGGAAAACTTAATGGGCCAGGAGCTCCTAAGATCTGGGGAATGTAAGCTTGATAAATAGATTAAGACTAGATTATTTCAGTTGCTAGGGACCTAAAATGATCATCTAGTCCAACCTGCCTGACCACTTCAGGGCTGACCAAGTTAAAGCATGGTATTAAGGGCACTGTCCAGGGTTTAACCACCCTCTTGGTAAAGAAATGGTTCCTGGTGTCCAGTCCAAACCTTTGAACCATTCCCGTGTGTCCTACCACTGGATCTGAGGGAGAAGAGCTCAGCACCTCCCTCTCTACTTACCCTCCTCAGGAGGCTGTAGAAAGCCGTGAGGTCGCCCCTCAGCCTCCTTTTCTCCCAGGTAGACAAGCCCAATGTCCTTAGCGGCTCCTCACAGGACATTCCTTTCAGCCCTTTCACCAGCTCTGTTGCCCTCCTCTGGAGCCATTCAAGGCCCTTCTTGAATTGCGGGGCCCAGCCCTGCACACAGGGCTCCAGGGGAGGCCACGCCGCTGAATCCAGCGGGATAATCCCCGCTGGGGACCAGGGGGTTCTACTTACTGTGTGTGACGCACACCAGGGGCCGCTTTGTCCTCGTGGCTGCCGGGGCACACGGCTGCCTCCCAGTGAGCCTGCTGCCCACCCGCACCCCCAGGTCCCTTCTGCAGGGCTGCTCTCCAGCCACTCCTTTCCGAATTTATACTTGTGCTTGGTGTTACTCCATCCCAGGTGCAGAATCTGGCATTTCAGATTGTTAAATTTCATCCTATTAATCGCAGCCCAATGCTCCAGTTTATCTAGATCCCTCTGCAAGGTCTCTTCTCCTTTGAGAGAGTCAACAGCACCTCCCAGTTCGGTATCATCAGCAAACTTGCCAGTGGTGCATCCAACTCCTGAACCCAGATTGCTTATAAATATATTGAACAGAGCTGGCCCTAGAGTTGAGCCCTGAGGAACACCACTGGTGACTGGTCACCGGCCAGGTGTAGCCGCATTCACTACAACCCTTTGAGCTCTACCCTTCAGCTCAGTCTTCACAGAGCGCCCCATGAACCCACTCATCCTACAGTAGGACAACTTGTCCAGAAGGTTGCTGTGAGGGACCATATCAGAAACCTTACTAAAATCCAGAAAAACTAAGTCCACTGCCTTCCCTTCATCCACTAGGCAGGTGACCTTATCATAGAAGGACATCAAATTATTTAAACAAATAATATATAAATATGCTAGTGCCAGTTGTGGCATATTTTTGCTGGATTTTTAATCACCTGATTTTACTTTTTCAGGGGTGGGGGAAAAGACTTGCAAAGAAGCTATTAAATATGAGAACTAGATACCTAATGAGACCTCACTATATAGGCAGGATTTCACTACTGAATAAGAACAATCTCCTACCAGAGCATTTTCTTCTCCCTTCACACTGGTCTTAGAACTTCCTGAGTAAATTTGAGTGGTTTTGCAGTGCCTGTTCATAGACTTAAAATCTTTCTCAAAAGCATGGATTAGATGTTATTTGATATTGCTATAATAGCTACTCAGTGAAACCTCTAATTTGAACACAGCTGTATTTTTGTATAAGTTTTGGAATTCTAATGGTGTCTCTCAAAGTTTCAATTTAGAGAATTCTCTATGGCAAGTCTAAGCCAAGTGACACTATTCCTTCCTTAGTTTACCAGACCAAATCCTCTTGTCTGAAGACTAAAAGTAGAAAACGGCTGTGTAATACGTATGTAGTAACTATACCAGTGTAAGCCACTCTGTAGTGACAGTTTTGCTCAGGGTATCATGGTCATGCTGCTTAACTGGGGCTTATTTTCATGTTCTGGTTCCAGTTTTAATGGCTGAAGATGTTACTATTCCCAGCTGCTTCCCTGGCTCCTTTGATGGGAGGGGTTTTTTCCCACTTCAGATCCTTCAGCTCAGCTGTTAGGAATCCAACCTAGTTTCAGGGATAGGTGAGAGAGAAAGTAGCATTAAATGCTGGAATAGGTGTGTGTTGGTTTTTCGTTTGTTTGGGCTTTTTGAAAATGCAGTCCCTCCTCCCAGACTCCTTCATCTTTAACATGCACAGGCTTATTATACACAGATGGCTTTGGAAGCTGCAAGCATTCAGTAGCACTAAAAATAGACATCAGCATTGGGAGGTACATTGTAAACTATGGAAGAATGTGATTAAAAGCTTTGTTAACACTTTTGCTTAAATAACTGTTTTCATTTGCATTGGGATATATAGGAGAATCCTGACATATGGTTCTTGAGACCCTTTCCAGCTTCTCTGCTGAAAGCCCTTGCTCTGAAGGCTATGTATCTTCTGCTGCTCCGCCCACCTCTAATGGATAAATTGATGTCTGACCTAACAGCTGTAGTAACTGATTATTTAAATGCTTATCAGACTAGGTCTGGAGATCACCTTGAGAGCATAAAGGTAGGTATGTCTTTGCTTGTTTTGCTGGTTAGTGATTGGATTGAAGGCTCTGATGGATAAACTCTGGAGAAGTTTATCAGCAGCTTCCTTTTCTGCAACTGTACACCCTGCTTGATGTGGCAGGTTCCCTGTGTGCAGGAAGAGAAGTGTCTGTCTCTACTTGGCTGCATTTCATGTTAATCCATTAGCACAAACCCACCTCAAGCTAGTTTTGTGGATGGTGAGCTGCAGCTGTTAAGGCACAAGCACATGTGTCCTCTGTTCACTCTCATCTGAGACTGGGCTCAACAGGAGCTCTGTATACGCAAGGGCACAAAGAGGGACAGGCGGTTGTGAAGTGTTGGTAGCTGGAGCTGCCAGAGTTGCTTTGTTTTGGTAAAAGCATTTAGTCTCCAAATCTTGTTTTCTTTTTCTCCTATTCTGTCTTCACTACTGAGCTCTTTTGCATATACTGACTGTTTCCGAGTAATGTTGTCTCTTGTTGGCCAAAGATTTTTATTTCTGTAAAAGCATCTCTGAGTTAACTTGTCTTCCTACGTAACAAAAAAATAAGTAACATTTTTCACCTTTGGTTACACAGAACCAGTAGTATTTCATGCCCGGATACCTTGGAGTGTGGCTCTTGGATGGTGGATGCTTGTGTAATTGCCAGTTAATTTTTAAAATAGGGGTGGAAAAATCAGATTTTTGGTTAAAGAGCTTGACTTCCTCCAGTAGTGGAAAGAAAATGTCGATTTAAACCAAACAAGCCATGGTATTGGTGTGGTCTTTCTCTCTCTTCTCAATGAAAAAATCATAGGAGGGTTTGCAATAACTATGTAAGATACTGCTGGTATTTAATTCAGCTGAGAAGTGAATGGTCAAACATCTTCCATCACAAAGAGACTGAACTAACATGGTTAAATCCTGTTACTGCCTCACTTTTGCAGTTGTAAATGTCTTGAAATATTTATTAGGAAAAGAAAATGCAGGTCTGTCTTCATGGAAGAAGTTGTCTTATTCTTTGCCCTGATTTAACAAAGCACTCGAGCACAGAGTTGAATCCTTTGGGAATTACTTAAGGGCTCAGACCAGTAAATCCCATTATTGAGGATTTAGGAGATTAGTTTAGATAACCACAAGAGGTCATAGTTGCTTCACAGATGGAAGAAATGAGGTCATAGCTGAAAACCTTTTCTTTATAGAGGAGACCTGCCAAAAAAAAAAAAAAAAAGGTTGTTCATAGTTCATGGAAAAAAAAAAATGAGCTTGACTTCTGAATTTCCAGTGTGAAATGCATGTAAAGTAGGCATGACACTAGGGAAAAGAACATTCTGTTAAAGTGGAAAGAGTACAAATTCTGTTTTGCGTTGGGCGATTTGTTTGTAGATTTTTTTTTTTTAAAGTGGTACTCAGTTTACTGAAGACAATCCTTTTGTAAATCCATTTATTCTGTAAGATTAGCCAAGGAATTAATTTGATCCTGAGCATTTCAAATGGCATTTTGAAGATCTATTTAATATCACATCTAATAATCATACTTCCTGCAGTTGCTTTAGAGATCTTGTAGTATGGACACTAAAAATAGCCATTTTCATCATCATTTCACTGTTAGTCATTTTCTGTTGTTTCTATATCTTGTGAGAAGATCACACAAATGAAAGTTTCTTATACTTTATTTAAAATTTGTTTGCAGTGCATATTTAAACTCCAAATAAGGAGTTTGGTTTAGTTAAATCTGGTCTGTGACTTCGGTTTCTTCACTAAGTAAACAAAGTTAATTTTAAGGGAATCCTTTGCAAGTTGATGAGTTTCAGCTAAATCTGTATTAAGGAAAAAAAAGGCTAAAAAAAAATAATCTTTCTTTGTGCAACTACTAGGCTTTCTGGCTAAGTCTGTATTAATTCCCTGAACCAAAAAGCCTTTGTACAGATCTGATTCTCAGAATGAAGTAATACTCAAGATACCACCACCCCCCCATTTATTCTAGTGCTTTTTCGTGGATATGCAGAAATAAAATCTATCTGTCACTAAGGTCTGTGTTATGCCTTCTGTGTACTTTGTGAAGCTACATTTGAAAGTTACCTAGAAAATGCTTTTACTGGACTACTTTACTTTTTATTTTACTGGACTATTTTACTTTTTTACACTGACCAGTTCCAATTTCCACTTGTATTCCACCTTTGGACCCTTGATGAACAGCAATCTGGTACAATGGGCTTGAATTCATCTTGAAGCCAGTCTCCAGCAGCTACACTGGAGTCCTGTGCTTGACAGCTGTGTTCTCCAGACAGGATCTGGTGCACTTCCAACACGGCTTCAGCAGAAGTAATGGTTCTTCTTGGATTCTGAAGTGAATACCTGTGACAGGGAAACATTTTGGAAACCTGAAATATGTTATCTACTGTGCTCTCTCCATGCTGGAGAACTGGAAGAGGTGCCTCTGTTGCTGAAGCAGGACTGCAGCAAAGCCAAAGACAATAAATGCTCCAGGGCTGGCTGTAAAGATACCTTGCGCTACTTCCGCTTCTAAATTGGAAGGTGGACGTAATTCATGAGTGAACAGGAACCATCTGTTCTTCCTGAGTGAAGAGGAACCATCAAGCATTTACTTGAAAGTTGTGGGAGTGAAAGTCACTAGGCAAGAGAGTCTTCAAGTTAGCATGGCCTCTTTGATTTACAGGCACTTGGAGAAGGTGACCTGATCTGGAAGCTGACTAACTTACATCACTCCATGTAAGGAAGCCTCTTCTGGGCCCTACTCTGTTCTGTTTTAGTTTTTGGATTGTGCTCCCTGAACAGAACCGCCAGGTCTTCAGCCTTTTGACAAAGGGAAAGTTAGTTATGCAGACATGCCTTCTGCAGTGCCTCTGGGCTACAGAGGTGTTTGAATATATCATACCTGACCAGAGCAATGAAGGGAGCCATGCTTTCCTGGCTGCTTCTGTTTCCTCTGATCTTACTGAGTGACATCATGTCGCAGAAGAATGCTTTTTTTCCTTCTCTCATTCCCCCAAACTTACAGCAGTCCCATGTAAACTATACTTGCAGAACAAGTACACGGATACAGACAGTTTCCATCATGAGACTTCATTAAAAATGAAGTGCTGAAGCTGGATGGAATACATAGCCACATTCCTTCCCAGCTCCAGCTGTCACATGTTGAATCACAGCTCCTGGTTCAGGGTTTACTACACTGAACTTCAGCTTGGACTAGCACTAGTAACATCCTCCTGATCTTTCCTGGGTCTCTGCCACATTTAGAAGTTCATAGTGCTAATGGCTTTTGTGTGTAGTAACAGTATTAGGATATACTTGGTGAAAAGATGCTTTGGCTTTCCAGTCCAAGGTTGCCTGTGAATTGAATAATGCTGAGTAATGACCAATAACATTGAATAATGATTACTGGGGCAGTTACCTACTCTCTCATTCTCTTGTTGAATTGTGGAGTTCAGCCTCTGGGAGCAGATCCAGACCAGTATCTTCTCCTCTTGGAAACAGCAGCAAGGAAAAGTGAATACACATAATCATGGAGCAAAAGCCAAGCCTGTTTGTTTGCCCTCATGGATCACTGCATCCACTGAGAGTTGAGGAAAGACAACTGTGAGTAAGGCTGATGAAGGTAACTGTCGCCACCCTTCCTTGGGCTCTCTGTGCCCAGCTTCTGCAGTCAGTTTTCCATATGCATCTCCCTCAGTGAGAAGTTTCTGTGTGTTCTAGCAGGCCCCCATTAGTGGGAGAATACAGGAACCACTTTCTGGCTAAATGCACAGCTCCTGCTAGGGTCATATCATCCATGTGGCCTTCAACATATTCAGAAATGCTTGATCTGAGATTTACGCATAATTACACGTGCCAGTGTCTGATTTTGCCTTGTTTCTTCAACATGCATGACTGGTGGGGGTTTTGATTTGTTCCAGGGTTTTTCAACAGAAGCTTGTACTTTCCTTTTACTTAAGACAAGTTTTCATAATATGATGGGAACAAAATCTTATGTTATCAGAGGCCATGGTTAAGCTGGCAGAAATGGAGATGAATGGCAGTTTATTGCTTTCACAGCAATAAACTGGCAAGAACTGAGCAAGCAGCAGTATTTTGTGCAAATAGTATGTTTGAGCCTTTGACTTAGATGTCATAGTTCTTGTGAGCAATTGCAGTGGTCACTGGTGCTAGTCCTGATTTCACCTTTCAGCCATCTTTTCTTCCCCTTGATCCCTCTGAAATGGAAATGGTAAAGAAACATAGTCCTTGTGGTCAGCCAGTGGGCAGCTCCTCCAGCAAGAGTTCGACCTTGCTTCTGAACAGCCAAACACATTCTTCTGTCATTTGGTAGTTGTTACAGCAGTAACAGAAGATGTACTGAGGAGCTGGCCCATGAGCTGGTACGTCAGGGAGACATGCTGTCAAGGTGGCATGATGCAACTCCATGGATTAGAGGTTCCTTCAGGAAAGGGTTGCAGCAAAGATGGGTATCATGCACCCTAGCAGTAAAGTATTGCCAGTGGTCCACAGCAGCCAAAAATTATAAAACAACACCCTTGTTGACGTAGTTGACTGGGAAAAGAGAATGTAGAAAAGGGGGGTGGTGGTGGTGGTAATGAAATAAAAAGAAAGGCTTCTCACTGATCCTGACAGATTTGGAAATGTATGATGACACTTTCTGTTGTTTCTTGTGCCACTACCTGCAAGTAGTAGTTGAGTCTTCTGAATAGTGGACACTTCCTCTTAAGCAACTGGCTTTTTACCCACAAAGCAGATGCAAAACAGTAACTTCTGATCCCCAGCGCTTAATTATCAAAACCCTCAGCTTCCCTATTCAGCATCTTTCTCAAACTGATCATCTTCCTTACTGCTTTGGGGGAGAATTTGACACAAACTTCCCTTCCTGAAGGTCTCTGCCGTTTCAGTGTTTTCAGCGTAACTGTCTGGCAGGAGTAATTGTTCTTATGGATGCAGACATCAAGTAAAATAGGTTTCTGTGCTTCTGCAGCTCTGTCACGAGGAGGGAGCTGGTAAAGAAGCTGTATGTGCTAAATTTAAAACTCTCCTTGTAGATTCATATTGTGGTGGTGGTGGTATTATGTTGCTAGGTACTTGGAAATGCAGCTGCGTTTTGATGTTTAGGACTTAAATTCAGAGAAGCAAATGCAGCCTTGGAACCCATCAGTATAAAAAAGCAGATGTTCTCCTAGAAGCACAGTCCTTTCTTGTTTGGGTGGTGAGCGTTCACAAGCAGAGCTCTGGTACGGCAGGGGCGTTGCACGCTCCTGTGCAGCAGAGTTGGTTTCCCAATGCACTTAAGGTAAAGGTGCAGTGAGTGTATAATACCAGACAAGATGTTCAGGACATGTGATGGTATAACCACTGCTCTCTGTCTAAATACAACTGCATGCCTGAGCCAGAAGTTTTCCTAATTGGCAGGTGAGTTGGGACCGCACACAATGCGTATTAATCATTATGAACATACAGCCCGAATTTTCGTGCAGCTTCGCTTTAAATGGTTTAGGGTGTGGACTACCTCTCGCTGTAGGATACGGTAGATACGGTAGCAGTTAGGAAGCTGGATGTACGTTCTTCTGGTTAAACAGAACTGAAGGTAGGGTGTTTTGAAGTAAGTGCTTGCTCTGCTTTTTTTCTGTAATCCTGTCTGAATTATTTAGCCTTCCTCTGGATCTGTGCAGACTTTTAGATGCAGGTTTTTGAGGCATGGCTTCCCTTTACAGATGTCATGGTAACTCTCTTCCAGTGCATCGCATCTGTATACCCTCTCATTCTATTCTTAGTGTTTCTACCAGTTTCTGCTCATACAGACATTTGACTTAGCAGCGTGTTCCTTCCTGTATCTTTCCTGGGACCTCCTTTAAACCATCTTCCAGTCCCTGGGTATCAAGGCAGGTTTTAAGCAAGATATTATAGTTCAGCTTTCTTCCACTGTTCAGGAATTTTGGGTCAAATCCATCTTGCTGTTTGTATTTCAAGTATTGGTATTAAGTATTTATGGGACAATCTGAAATACATTCTGGGTATATAATGAGTGTTTTTGGTACGGGAATCTCTGCATTTTTTTCATGATGAATGTAGAACAGAAAAAATGTGTGGTTTACAGTGCTGCTTTTGTATTCTGATCGCTTGGCCCTGCAGCTTGGTCAACATTTTGTGCTCCTCTCATCTTTGAAAATTTTTTCTATTATTTCTGTTATATTTTTGATAAATACTAATAAAATTATTCTGTCATGCCCTTTGTTTGTTCCGTAACTTCATCCTTACTATTTTCTTCACTTGGATGTGTCTTTGCTTTCCTGAAGGATGCTTACTTCATAGTCTCTATCCCCCTAACCTGTAGTCCTGCCAATTTCCTTTCACCTTTCTGTGATCTTTTGCTGTTAGGTAATGTTTGCTCTATGCTGCTTGTATGTTGTCTTCATGCTACGTGCTAGGATTGAATTTGCTTGGCTGCCTCTTACTACTTTCATCAAGCTCCCTTATTTGTGTATGTCTTCTTTCTACAGCTGAATGCAACTGTGGATTTTTTTGTGTTGTTCCTATAAAGATGGTGGGCATTGCAGCCCCCTTTAAGGGACAGATCCTTGCATGGAGTATTTTGGACAATGTCCCATGCACTGCTCAGAATGAAATCAAGGAGTGTATCAACTTTCACATACTTCCAAGGCCACTGTTTCACTGATTTGTTAGCTATGTTGGCTTTTTCCATGTAAGTGGTTGTGGGGTTTTTTTAGCTATAAGATACAATACCATGGTTTTAAATGAAAAGCTGTGAAAGCTGCCTTTGAGTGGCTCCTAGAAGCAACCATGAACTGGTTATCCCTCTTTTGGGAGTTTTCAACAACTTCATGGTGCAAAGGTTCCTCAGGAGACATCTAAAATCCATATGTGAAGTATTAAATCTTGAAGATCTTAATAATAAAGGGGTAAACAATAAATGCAAGAAAGGGTGGGGGGGGGAACTTTTTTCCCCTGAGGTATTCTTTGGGTAAGCAGGTAGTTGATAGATTCCATGGATCCATGAGATGATCCATGAGAGATGATTGTTCTGTTCCATTTGCTAATTACAGAGGGAGCTCTTACAAGCAAAGGTAGAGCATGTGTATACACATGTATTGATTTGATTTCTTTTCTGTTTCTTTTCTTTTTTCCTTATCAGCCCACTTGCATGGAGCTGCCACAGGAGCTGCGTCAGCTGGCAGACATCCAGAAGCTGCGAAGGGAGAAAGCAATCAAAGACTACAGAATGAATGAGGATGGTCTTCTGATAAGACCAGCCGTGGAATTAAAAGAGAGAAACGATCCATGGAAGGATAAAAACTACAGAGATGACAGGGACTGCCTTCCCACAAATAAAGCAGTGTCTCAAATGACAGCCTTCTACGATCGGGATGTAGTTCATCAAGAAAAGTCTGAAAATCAAAACCAAGTGCTGAATCTGTGGAAGAATCTTATACCAACCTCAGGCGGGCTGTAAAAATCTAATATCTGATACAGATGACTCAATAAGCTCATACTGGGTATCCAAATGAAAAAAGGGGCTGTTGCCCCTGCAGAAGTGTCAGACAAAAGCTCCTTTCTTTACAATAACAGGTAAACTCATTGTTGAATGGAAATAATGATGGGTTTTCTTTAGAAGGAAGTTCCTTCTGTGTCTGACTGTTCTTCTTGAGGTCTATTTTTGAGATCCATGTTTTTCAAAAGCTATTTTTAATTTTAAAACAGTGACTGTTGTTCTTGCATCGTTATCAGACCAATGTCTTAAATTGTATTGGTTCTTTTGTTACCTGTTGCAGATACGCAAAACTCTTATTCAATATGTGAACAGGGGAGCTTATAAAATGCCTGTTCATTGAGATTAGAAGGGGTTTGCTTGGAAAAATTAATAGACCTGGCTAACCTGTATGGGCTTGGTTTATATACAGATAAGTCTCTTGGCATAGCTATATAAGTCTTTCATAGGACAGTGAAAAGATCACACCCTAATGAACCACTATGCTGGCAAAAACAGCAAAGCAGTGTGCTAATAAAAAGGACTTTTCTGCCAAGTCAGAGTTACTTTAGGCTGAGAAAAGAAGCTTCCCGCTGAAAGTTGTTTGCTGCTGTTTGTCAGCACTGCTGTTTCAAATTCGGGTAGATAAGGCTGTAACACTGATGTTGTGTGTATATAGGCAAGCATGTATAAATGGGGGGGGGAAAAAACAGTTAAAATAGTTTAAAATGCATATAGGAATCCTCCCACAAGCAAAATAAGATCTAAATGCAAAACCAGTTTATCTTCAGAATATGTGCTTTGGCTGATATTCACTGAAAGTAAAGCTCTTCCAGCTGATAGTATTAGTCTACCACATGACAAAATTAACATAGGCCATGTCTGAGCCTTGGAACATTTTTTTGGCCTATCTTTCTATTTAACTTGCAAGCAAAGGACTGTAGAAAATTCTTTGGTTTTTAAATTCTGAATTTGTTTCTTTAAATACATTAAAAATTCTGCATGTTTTACCATTCAAATGCTTCAGACAGGGTGGGGAACACCTTAAGTCTATGGAAGGTTTTGTTCTCAGGGCTGTGGCTATGACTATTGGTAACTGCTGATGAACAACATGAAATAGGGAAGAATGGAAGAGATAACGGTCACTGTCCCAACCAGACTGCAGTCCAAGAACGATCTGGGCATCAGGCTGCATATTTAGTTAGTAGTAGTGTTAGTATGAGTTAGGAGTAACCAGTAACACCACGTTGCAAGGGACGGGATGTCTCTGTGGCAGCAGGCACCAATACCTATTTGAGCTGGCTTTCTGTGGATGTAAATTGGTGTGAGTAGCTGCTTATGATGTATCTGTGTGTATTTCTTTTAAGTAGTGTTAGAGGAAACGTGCGTTGGTGTTTTGGAGTGTTTTTCCCACTCCACAAAGAACACTAGACCAGCAGTATTTAAATAAGTCTCTTCTTTGAAACTACAGATGGGACTTGCTCACTTCTGGGAGTGGCAGAAAAAAATCCAAGGTTTGCTCTTTGTCACTGCATTTTCTACATTTTTTTTAAACCCTTAACAGTATTCTGTAATCAAACTGTATAGTTCCTTTTGTCTCCATTCACTTTAGAAAAATAAAACAGGTTTGAAGCAAGTTTGTCTTACAACTTTTTATTTGGAAATTGAGCTTGTTTCATCTGGTCTGCTAGGAGATGCTGGCAGTGGCCTGGGCTCCAGCACTGGAGCTCGTGAAATTCATCGGGAGCAAGATTCTTCCAGGCAGTGATGTGTTATCAGAAATCCGTGAGGTACAACGTGGAATATGCAGGCTTTTCTAAGCCAGAGACAGCTCCAGAGTGCTTACGTTTTATTTCCACAACTGAAATAATTTGGGTCCATCCAGTTGAATTAGTAGAAGGAGAGAAAAAATGGTGATACATCAGATCAGGGAAGGAAGGGGAGGTAGGAGGCAGAGACAGTCAGGTCTCTCGGGTAGAAGAGTGATCTAGAGTGTCTCTCTGCAGGGTATAAACTAATTGCTCAAGGCACCTTTCTCAGTAAGAGACTGAGCTGCATTCTCAGCCTCTTTTAAGAAGTAAATGTCTGGCTGGAACTGTATTACAAAGGAGTGACTATTTCCAGACAGAGACCTGACAGTGTAACTGCAGCTGTGCCACTATATTGCTTTAAGCAGCACAGCCTTCCTGGGTAAACATAGCTGCAGCTCTCCCCTCTTCTCTTTTGGGAACAGCATAAAGAAAGAAATAGATTGGAATGGAGTCATCACTCGCTGATGCTTAAGATTAAAAATGACAACTTTTTTAAAGGAGATAAAGGGTTCTGGTTTTGTTTTTTATAATGGTCCGTAACACCTTGTCATGCACTTTTTCTTTGGTAGTGATGAGTGACAAAATCCTGTACACTACTTAAACTGTGTAGTTGCTGGTTGTATTTAGGGATGCAAGGTACCGTAAGTACTTGAGGAGAACTGGGTAGCAGGGTAGCAAAGTTTTAGTGGGGCGGTAGCAATGGTCATCTTTTTTATTTCCTAGTTATTGCAACACCTACTGTGTGTGGGGATGACACGGAGCTGAGTCATGAAGTGCGCATTTCTATCTCTAGGCAATAGGTGATCTAGCTTAATAATTCTTTACTCGTTTACCGTGAACGTACTAGTTGATTTGGGAGACAGCTCATGGCCCCACCGTGTTTACATTGCAAAGTGTCTCCCTACGCTTAACTTTCAGGCCTATTTTGTTCCGAGCGCCTGTGATGCAATTCCTCCTGCCTGACAAAACCAATGTGGTAAAACGCACGTAGCTCCCAAGTACCCTCTTTTTGCCCGTAAACAGCAAATTAAGAGTGACGGCGTCCCGGTTCCCGCGCCGTCTGCGCCTCGACCCTCCCCTGGGTGGCGGGGGGGCCGGGCCGGGCCCGTGCTGCCCCCGGCGGGGTTTAGAAGGGAAGCCTCGATCAGCCTCGCTGCGCTCCGCGCCGGGGGGGGCGGCAGCTGCCTGCCTTCCCCCCTCCTCCTCACACAGCGCGGGGGCCGAGAGGGGTCCGATCGCGCCCCGGCC